CTTGCACACCCGCTGCCCTCCCGGCGGGTGCTGGCAGGGGGGGCCGCGGACCCCCCGAGCCGCGCACGGTGGCGGCGTGATGCCACCTTGCACACCCGCTGCCCTTGCACACCCGCTGCCCTTGCACACCCGCTCCCCTTGCACACCCGCGCCCCTTGCACACCCGTGGCCGCCGCCCTTGCACACCCACGGCACACCCCCACACCCGCCCGGCCCCTCGCACACTCGGGGGCCCCCTCGCACCCCCTCAGCGCCCCTTGCACGCCCACCCGCCCCTCCCGGCCCGGCACACACCTTTGCACACCCACGCAGCCCCCGATCCCCCCGGAGCCGCCGCCCCAGGCGCGGGGGGCGCCCCGGACGCGGTGACACCGAGCGGGGACAGAGTGACACGGAGCCGGGACACGGAGCCGGGACAGCGTGGGAGCCGCCCGCGCTCGCTGCCACGGCCTGCCACCCAAAGCCAGCGCGACACGGGGGCGCGGTGACAGCGGGGACAGGGACACGGGGGCACGGGGGTACGGGGGGCACGGGGGGCAGCGGGACAGCGGTGCTGGCGGCGCGGGGCGCAGCAGCAGCAGCAGCAGCAGCAGGAGGGTTTTGGGTGGCAGCGGCTGGAACGATGTTAATGACTTTTCTTCCTGTCGCTCTCCTTTTACACCGAGGGCAGCTCCGTAACCAGAGCCGCTTCCTTCCCCGAGATTAAGGAGCCGTCTGCTCGCCCCCCCGGGCCCTGACCCCCGCCCCCCCCGCGCGGAGCTGCCACCGAATTGTCACCCCCGGCTGGCCCGGGCCTGGCCCGGCAGGGACACCCTCCCCTGTCACCCTTGGGTGTCCCCTCCCCGCGGGGCTGAGCGTCCTCCCAGCGCTGCCCAGGACGGGTTCGAGGGTCCTGGACGGGAACAGGGCTCGCCACGACCCCCGCGCTCCCCTCCCTCCCTCTGCCCCCCGCGGGGCTCCCCCAAACCCCGGGGGCAGGAAGGGCAGGGTGGCAGCGCCGGGTGCACCGCGAGGAGCCCCGGGGGGGGGACAGGGGCCGAGCCCCCCAAAGCCACCTCAGGCTCTGCCCGTGGCCCGCTCGGCACCAGCCGTGCCTCGATTTCCCCGCCGTGACCCAGAGGACCTGGACCTGTCCCCGGGGGGGGACAAAGCGCTTGGGGGGGCTGGCCGTGGGACAGGAGGGGGCTTGGCAAGGTGGGGGTTTGGGAGGGGTCCCCGTGTTGCTCTGCTCCGGGGGAAGCGGGGACGCGGCTCCGTCCCTGCCCCGGCTGCAGGTGGGCGGCGGATGCGGCCGGGCCGGGGGTCCCGGGGGTCCGGGGGTCCTGGGGGGGCGGCAGGTGGCCGGGCCGGGCCGGGGGCCCTGCGGTTTGCGGTTCGTTCCTCCCTGAAGCGCTCGGCCCCGCGCTGCCCTCGAGATGCAAATTCCTCCGGGGTGGGGGCAGCATTTTTGGTTTTCCCTGAGACCAAATTTAGCCCCCGCGGGTGCCCGGTGCCCTCGTGCTCATTTTAATAATGAAAACAGGAACGATGCCACCGACTAAGAAAATTACCCCCGAGTTTCCCCTCGTTCCCCAGAAGCCAAATTCCACGGCAGAGGCAGAGCCTGCCTGGGGGCTGGGCTGGGGGCTCTGGGGACACTTTGGGGACACTTTGGGGACACTTTGGAGATTTCAGGACTGCACCCCGGCTGGCTGCCACCCTCTGCCCCGTCCCTCGGTGGGGTTGCGGTGCCGGGATCAGCGGGACGATGGCAGGCAGGGTGGTGACACTCCCCAGGGTGACAGGGGACAGGGGAAAGCCGAGACAATCCCCCCTCGAAGGGTCCGACCCCCACCCCGCGCCGGCGCTGGAGACCCCAGGGACGGGGGAAACTGAGGAAGGGGCGATGCCCAAGGGTGCTGGGACGCCGGGAATCCTGCCGGGCTCCCCGTGCAAGGGAGGTGGCCCGTGGTGACACACGTGTCCCCAGCCCCGGGCGCCCCCTGTCACTCCCTCCCGGCCCCTGTGCGAGCACCAGGGCGGGCAGGGGGGACCGGGCACACGGGGCTGGCTCGGCCGCCGCCGGCCACCGCGGGGACGCTCGGCTGTGTGACGTGCGGGTGACATCAGCCACCCACGGAGGGGAAACTGAGGCACGGGGCTGGCAAAGGAGGGGATTCAAGCCCGAGGAGGGCCCTGCGGGGGAGGACGCGCGGCTCTGGGGAGGGCTGGAGCCCAAACCCTTGCGGAGGGCCCAGCTCGGGCTCAGAGTGTCCCAAACCCAGGGACGCTGTGTCCCCGAGGGGTCCGGGGTGTCCCACAGCATCCCTGTCACCGGCCAGCGGGACAGCTGGTGGCTGTTCAAGGTGACGGTCAGGACACGGCTCCTGCCCCTCCTGTCCCTCTGTCCCTCTGTCCCTCTGTCCTCCTGCCCCTCTGTCCCTCTGTCCTCCTGTCCCTCTGTCCCTCTGTCCTCCTGCCCCTCCTGCCCCTCCTGTCCCTCCTGTCCCCCTGTCTATCTGTCCCTCTGTCCCTCTGTCCTCCTGCCCCTCCTGTCCCCCTGTCCATCTGTCCCTCCTGTCCCCCTGTCCCTCTGTCCCTCCTGTCCCTCTGTCCCTCCTGTCCCCCTGTCCCCCTGCCCCTCCTGTCCATCTGTCCCTCTGTCCTCCTGCCCCTCCTGTCTCTCCTGTCCCCCTGTCCCTCTGTCCCTCTGTCCCTCCTGTCCCTCCTGTCCCTCCTGTCCCCCTGTCCCCCTGTCCCTCTGTCCCTGCGCGAGTGCTCCCTGCTCGGGGACACTTGTGACACCCATGTCCCCGGAGTCCTGCCGCTCCCTGCAGTGTCCCTGGTGTCACTTTACGGTGCCAGGGGACACTCAGGGCCGTGACATCCTGCGGACAGGGACCCCCAGGGCGGGGGGGTGGCGGTGGCGGGTCCCAGCTGCGGCCACGGCGGGGACAGTGGCGAGCCCGACACCGCCTGGGTGGCCGGGCCGGCTGATCCCGCAGCGGGGGGCGTCCCTGTCAATTTATCCTCGGGAATTAATTAGCGCCTGGTGACGTCAGGAGCACTTGTGCCTCAGCGCCCCCCCGTTAATGAGTCCCCCCCCCTCCTTAACCCCCCCGGCCTTTATTTTCCCTCCTAGAAAAAAAACGATTCTGGAAATTTCCTTGTTTTCCTTCTTTTTCTCGGGAACTCGGTGTGGGGGTCCCTGCTGGGTGGTGGGGAGGGGGTGGCAGCGCCCTGGTGGTCTGGGGGTGCCCCGGGAGGGTGGGGACAGCAGATCGGGGGGATGCCGTCCCCACTGCCAACCTCAGGGAGCCGGAAAATGTGGGGAGGGGGCGGTGGGGTCAGCAGGGGGGCTTTGCACAGAGATTGGGGGCAGGGACCCCTCCCCACGGTGGCGGCGCTGCACAGCCGGCCCGAGGGGCTGCTGAGCGGCTCTGCTCCCTCTGGACACCCCCGGGACACCCCCGGGACACCCCCGCGCCCGCCCCCTCCCGTGGGACCCGGGGGTCCCGTCCTGCCCTCCATGCACCCCCAGGGCTGCCCCGCGCAGCCTGAGCTCGCCATTTCCTCCCGCCCCCAGCTGGGGAGAAACAGCGCTGGCCTCATCCTCACCCTCATCCTCATCCTCACCCTCATCCTCATCCTCATCCTCATCCTCATCCTCACCCTCACCCTCACCCTCACCTTCATCCTCATCCTCACCCTCAATCCTCATCCTCATCCTCATCCTCATCCTCATCCTCATCCTCATCCTCATCCTCACCCTCATCCTCATCCTCATCCTCATCCTCACCCTCATCTTCATCCTCACCCTCATCCTCACCCTCACCCCTGTCCCTGTGACTGACCCGTCCCCATCCCAGGCCACATCCTCAGCCCTGTCCCCATCCTCATCTGTGTCCCTGTCCTCAATCCTGTCCCCATCCCTGTCCCTTGTCCCCGTCCCTGTCCCATCCCTGTCCCCGGGGGTTCACCCCCTGCCCCGATCCCGGGGGTCCCTCTGTGGGTTCGGGGTCCCCCTTTCCCTCCCTCCCCCCCAGCTCCGGGGGTCCCCCGGCGTGGGGAAGGAGCCCAGCAGCCAGGAGGGGGGACAGTGGCGGTGCCACCGTCCCCGAGAGCGCCGCGGGGGCATCACCGCGCCCCGGGAATGGGAATTATTGAGGGGAGCCGGGCTGGCCATGGTCGGGGGGGGACCACCGCCTCGGGGGTGGCACCCGGGGACAGCGGGACTGCCCCGGGCACCGCGGGGACAAGGACAGGTGCGGGGGAGGCCTGGCCTCGGGGTGGCACGGGACAGGGCACAGGACAGGGCACGGGACAGGGCACGGGGGTGGCACGGGGGTGGCACGGGGGTGGCACAGCCTGGCTGAGCTTCCCTGGAATCTCAGGCCACCCCAAAACAGAGCAGGGCAGGGGGGACCAGAAGGGACCGAGCCCCCAGCGCCGCCCCTCAGGCGTGTCACCCCCCCAGTGACACCAGAGGACCCGAATTGTCCCTTCCCGCTGTCCCCCGGAGCCCCAGGGCACGGGCAGCAGCGGGCTGCCCTGTCCGTCTGTCCCCGCGCTGTCCCTGTCGCTGTCCCCTGCACGTGTCCCCGCTCCCCGCGTGTGGCGGTCCCCGCGGTGTCCCCTCCCCGGCCCGCCCCGCTCGGGGGTGGGCAGGGGGCGCGGGGCGGGGCCCGGGGAGCGGAGCCGCTTCTTTGGATAAGAGCGCGGCCCGGGCCGGGCAGGCGGAGCGCGAGCGGCACCGGCACCGGGCACGGCGCCCGCGCGGCACCTTTGGGGTTTTCCCGGCTGGTTTAGGGTATTTTTGCCCGGTTGCTTTTTTTACCCCCGCTCCCTCTCGGCCGTCCCCGGGCCGCCGCCGCCGCTCGGGCCCCCCCGGTAGCACCGGGCATGGAGGGGGCGGCGGGAGCCGGGGCGGGCGGGCAGCGCTGAGCGGTCCCGGGGCCGCCGCGGGCCGGGACCCCCATGAG